TGCATAAAACACATACAAATGTAACAATCAAGAAAACTCTTGGGTGAGGAGTCATCCTTGGTGTCTTTCCGGTGTACAAGGTTCGGGCCAAGCGGCTGATGTGATGCAAGGATCAAAATGAGACCCATGACATTAGGCCTGCCCTAAGACAGTGCAGCAGAATACAATACACTACAATAGCGGGCTACAAAGAACACAAAGGTGCACAAAGAAAACAGGCTGTCAACAGCAACGGTCTCCACCAGGCGAGGGGATGCCAGACTTAATATTAACTACTTGAGATGTTATAAAGGGTAGTCCTGGTGTCCCAGGAAGGCTGGGTTATCTTCCTGGCAAGGCTTGCAATAGCAACAAGAGGGAATCCAGACCCAAAAGGCCAGCTCAAGTTACATAGGTGAGAGTAAATAGGTAGCGCCACATTTCACTTGTGGAGACTTGGGTGACAGCCTCCTCCTCCATCTGTGATCCTCACGGATTCGCAGCTGGTCAGGCCTGCGAAAGGCATCGTTGGGAGCGGCGGCCGGTTCGGCTCTTTTGCGCCTTGCCCAGAGGGGCCCGGCCACATGTGTCCTCTGGAACAGTTACTGTGAGCCAATTGATCGGATCCATTTCAGAAAAGGCGAACAGGTCCGGAAACTCCAGCGGATGGCGGAGAGGAAAGGTGTCAGACACTTTACAGGTGACCTTTTCATCTGAAAAGGATGCCCCAACTTGTATGCGAGACCTTTCTCACCTAGTTCATCCAAAAGCGGTTTAAGTGACCGATGAATCATCAAGTTTCTTTTGGAGATTTCTGGGAGTAGGTGGACAGCTGTTCCATCAAATTCCAGGACGCCCACATGCCATGACCACCATAGAATTTCTTCCTTAAGGTTGAAAAAATGTAGGCAACAGAGGATGTCCCTAGGTCTTTCAGATGTAGTGGGTTGCAGGCCTAGTGTCCTCTGCACTCTGTCAATAGTTATCTCCGAGTCCACGGGCGGTCTAGGCAACTATTGAAGATGGGGGTCACGTTCGAACGAAGCACTGATTGAAATACAAATTCAGGGATGCCTTTCAGTGTAATATTCTGCCTCTGGTTACAGTGCTCCAGATCATCAATGAGCAGTTGTAGCTGAATGACGTCATCAGTAAAAGTAGTGTGAGAGGATTGGAGGATTTGTACAGACTGGGATACCAGACTCTGGTCCCGTTCAAACACCATTATATGGGAGACTAAGGTGGATACTTCTTGCGTAAGATGTTGTATTTCCCCACCTCAGAGCGGACGCCATCCTGTTAGCCAGTGCTAAAGTCTGCCCTAGTGGGTAATTGTTGTAGCGATGCCCATAAGTGTTGTTCTGAGTGGGCGCTGAAAGGGAGCCCCTGGCAAGAAAGGGTAGCAGGAGGTTTACTCACAATATCTTGTGACATTGGTGACTGAGCCCTCTCCGTAGTTGCAGGCCCTAGGCTCAAGCACAGATCACTGTGTGAGGCTGGGTGTCCTGGGCTATGGAGGTCGTCATCCATGTTGGTGGAGCACGCCAGTGATCTGGGGAGACATGGGGAGAGATCACTGAGCAGTGAGAAAGGAGGCATAGTGTGATCCTCTGATGGCTGCAGGGAGAGGATGGTAGCAGCGGCTTGTTCCTCTAATGCGGACCTCGTGGTTGGCCCGGCGCATCTTGGGAAGCGCCAGTGTGGAGGCCACCGGCTGGCGTAGCTTGAGGAAGCGGTCCATGACACTGCCGCGGGAGGTGAGAAGCAGGCCTGGGTAGTAAGGACTCCAGAGGGACCGGTAGGTACCAGCGTTGGTCAGTACAGTGGCTCAGTAGGGCAGCAGGAGAGTAGGTGGCCAGAAGCTCCTGAAAAAAGTGTCCTCACATGGCGGTGTGAGGATGCATTCTTCGGGAGCTTCTGGCCACCTACTCTCCTGCCAAGACCACGCCCCCTCTGCGGGGATGGGTTTGAAAGTCATGACATTGATCTTCACAGGGATAGATTGCGTTTGGGGAAGTGTTGTGACATCCAGGCTGATGTCTGTTAGTAAATTGGTGATGCGTGTGGAGACTGATGGAGTGAGCTGTGGGTTAAGAGAGATAGATTTGAGTGTCATCAGTGTAGAAATGGCTTTGGAAGCCATATGACGTTATCAACTGACCCAGGAACAAGGTGTAGACGAGAATAGGAGAAGTCCAAGAACAGAATCTTTGGGGACGTAGAATAGGAGAAGTAGAACTGTAAGTGACATTGAAGGTGTGGTGGAATAAGTAGGATGAGAACCAGTGAAGAGCACAGTTAAGGAGACCGATGTAGGGGAATTTTCTGAGGAGGAGGGGGTGGTCCAGTGTGTCAAAGTAGGCAGAGAGGTCCAGGAGTAGGAGTACTCAATAGCAACCATTAGTTTTAGCCATTAGTAGATCGTTTGAGTTTTAGGAGAGCAATTTCTGTGGGACTGTTAAAGACTAAATACAGGGGATTAGGGAGGTTGGAGAAAAAGGGGAGCAAGGAGATGGGGTGTAGATTGTGAACATTGGTGGGGTCCAATGAGGGATTTTTAAGTATGGGGGTGATTAGTGTATGGTTTAAATAGTTGACTAAGATACCAGAAGAGAGGGAAACATTGAAGATGTGAGTTGGAGAGTGTAGGACAGAGCAAGAGGGTGACTGAAGCATTTGCGAGGAAATCGGGTCCAGGGGGCAGGTGGGCGTTTGAAAGAAAAGTTTAGCAACCTCATCAATAGTAGCAGGGTTGAATGAGGGAAGTAATGATTGTACCTGTGGACATGGAGTATAAAGTGGATAGAGGCAGTGGAGGATGAAGTAGCTGAAGGTAGAGAAGAGGTGACCGGGACTGGATGAGAAGTTGGTAATGAGATTGATAAAAAAAGGTCTGCTTGGCAGTGTGGAGGCAAGAATTGTACATTTGGAGGACAGATTTAAAATTGGTTGAAATCTTGCTAAAATTTAGTCTTGAGCCACAGACACTCAAGAGCATGGCTACATTTTTTTAGATTTCTGTTGGGGTAGGGGCCTGATTCTGTGTGTAGTGAGGGTGGCAAGTGTGTTTAAGGAGGACAACTAGGTTAGGTCAGAACAAGGGTGAGATTATTTTCATAGAAGTGGTAAGTAGCAGATCTGAGAAGGAAAGGGTCATAGTGGCCAAGGTTCTACGAGTAACTGTTAAGCAGTTTAAGGGAGAGGAGGTGGAAGACAGTGAGAGAGAGAAACTAATAAGGTGGTGATCAGAGAGAAGGAAAGGATTGCTGGAGAGGTTGCACTTAGTGCATAGGTAGGAGAAAACAAGGTCAAGGGTGTTGCCATCACAGTGCGTAGAAGCATATATCCATCTCCTCAGGTCAAAAAAGGAGGTTAGACTGAGAAGTTTAGAAGTACCAGGAGCGTTAGTATTAACATGGATGTTGAAGTCACCAAGAATTATTGTGGGAATTTCAGAAGAGAGAAAGTAAGGCAGCCAGGCAGATGTAATCAAGGAAGGTTGATCCAGGTCCAGGGGGCTGGTAGGTCAAATATTTTTTTTTAAAGAAATTGGAGAGAAAAGATGAATGCAATGTGCCTCAAATGAGGAGCAAAACAGAGAGGGAGGTAGGTGGAGTACCTGAAAGGTGCTATGTGGGGCTAGAAGGATTCCCACTCCACATCCCTTCTGTCCTCTCTCTCTCTGGGGTGATAGATATTGTACAGAGAGGCGAGTTTGCTACAGTGGGCATTAGAAGAGAAAGGGAAGCTGAGAAATGGAAACTAAATTGAGAATTGCAGCTGCTGCCAGAAGGTGTGGAGTGATGGAAGCATTGTGCAGAGTTAAAATGATGGCATAATAGGTACTATATATTAGGTGTTTATTAGATTTCTAATGCCATTTTAAGCAGACTGAACAAAAACTTTATATGGTTTTTTCCCAGCTACAGTGGCCTAGATCTGACACCTTTGAACTGGTAAGTGTTCAGAGCTGAAAGTTTTCATATTAAATTTTAACAGAGAAATTTGAAAATCTTGAAGTTTCTAGTCTCCTCTCAACTCTCCATCCTGAATACAGTCATGGATGTCCCAGGCTCCCACAAGACACAGAAGACCATGGGACACTGCATGTTGCTGCAATTATAAAAGTGATCAGGCGGCTATATAGCCTGAAGCCAGTACTACAAAATGTAAGCCAAGAGTTTGTTCAAGTCATGTTACTTATGGTAGTATAAGGATTATGGTACTGAATATAAGCACTGATCCACCTCCAGCTGAAGATAGCAAAGAACACTATTGACAGAAAATGAGGACTGAATGTCAAGGATTCGCACAACTCAAAGTATGCCTTCCAACCCTGCAATAGGTCAGCTTACAAGCCTTAAGCATGGTTGGTCTCAATCCCTCTGCATCTGGGCTTGAAAAACCAAAGTGCAAATTTGAACTTAGACAACCAACCAGTCTTCCTAAACCGCCAAAAAATTAAAACGGCATATCTGATCCATTTTGCCTAGTCTGCAGCTAAGAGAATGATAGGAGTTCTCTTCCAGTTATACTCTCAGAAACGGGGGGGAATTATAGATTGGTAATACCATACCAGATACCAGAGCATCAAGGATGCAATAAAATGTAACACCAAAATGGCTGGAATCAAATGCAGCATTGCAAAAATGCATCTGTACCATCTGAGTCCTTAGGTGGTCGTTATGAATATTTTGTCCTGGCATGTCCTGTAGAGATGCAGGGTTTGAAGAAGGAAACCACAGTGTACAGAGAGAAGCACAGGCATCCGACACTCCCATAAGTGTCAAATGCTCAAGTATCTCATAAAGACTACAGTGCTGAAATTGCAAGATGGTAGGTCATCAGAGATGTGAATATAACAGCTCCTCTGTTGCAGGGGACTAGCATTTAATTTTATTTTTTACAATTGGGTAGCTGTGACAGGAGTCACTTTGGGTGGGGGGGCTCATGGAACCCAGCTTACTATGCAGCGGTTGGAGCAACCCGTCACAGCTCCCCATATCCCTCTTATGTGCAAGTCACCCCGAGTCTCTTAGTGGCACAGGGTGACTGATGGACGTTGAGAATGCGGCTTGAATTAATTCAGATGGGACAATAATATTTATCAGCCATATGAAGACTATTCCTAGTTGTTGATTCTGAACTAGACATGTGAATTGAAGGAGCTGGACCGTCTGCTCAGTAGTAAGATCTTAATTCATCAAACCATTGTCTAGGTGTGAATTCCCATTCACCTTTTGTTTAGGTCACCCAGCTACTGTAGCTAACCTAATTAACTTACTGTTTAAAAAGTTAAGTCTATATCTGTATATAGCTGCGTTTGCATATGATCATGTGATCAGTATCAGTGTGTATTGTATAAAAAACTCGTTTGAGTTTAAAATAAAGAGTTCCATGTTCAGACAGACTGGTGTCGGCTAGTCTTGTATGGTCGGCTGTTGGGTCTGTTGTCGGTGTTCGGACGGAGAAGCGGTATTCTAACGGAAGTACTCAAGCGCAGTCTGGGTCGGTTTCGTTACATTGGTGGCAGCGGTGGGATGCTTCCTGCAGTCTGGGACATCTAAACCTCCACTGGGATCCAAGGTTTGGATAGCCGGAGAGAAGAGATACAGATACCACCCCAGCTATAGAAACGGAGGTCTTATGGTGGATGCAGCAAGTGCTGGCTTACCTAGACGATCCTGTTTCTGCACGGGACAAGCTTGGATGGAGAGGAATGCGTCTGTCCAACAGCTGGATGAGGGTGTGGAAGATGGAGCAGTCGGCTCATCCCTCCAATTACAGATCCCAGAATGTATGGATCTTATGGATTTTTCACTGGTGGATGTTATGGGTGATGAGTAACCTGCCAAAGTGCTGGCACTGGGCCCAAGGGCCACCAGCCCGTGCCATGGACATTTGCCATTACAGAGACTGGGGATTTGATAGACTTCTCTGCTGAGGAAAAACAACCTGATGGGTGAGCCTCCAGCAGAAGAGCTGGCAGCAGCACCAAGCATTGCTGAGCTCTGCCCAGCACCAACAGCAGCTTCAGTCTGCCTGAGAGAAGAGGCTGCCGGCCTCTCCTACACCACTGACAAGGACATGGGATTTCCTGCCAGCAGCATCTTTGGAGTTAAAAGAAACTTCTCTAGCTGAAGCGCTGACAACTGGACAGAGGGTTCAGGACCTCTGCCCTACACCTGCGGTAGTTTCAGAGGCCCAGGGTGTGACGGAAGAAGAGGTTGTTGTCCTTCCTCCCCCAGAGTCAGCCAGAATGAAGGAAACTGTCTTCCCTCCAAAGCCAGGATCTCTGCACCAGGGGGACAGTGACAGAGGAATGAATGTCATCCCAGCAGCAGATCCACAGTCTGGGAGTGGAGGAAGCTGGCCTCCCACCTCCACGGTTAGCTGGAGCAGATGTGGGGTCCCCAGCAGAAGTGCTGGCAACCGGACAGAGCGCTGCTAGCCTTTGCCTAGCAACTACAGTGTCTCCACAGCATCAGGGAGCTCCCTAGCAGCAGACTGAGCTCCAGAATGTTCAAAACCCTACAGCTGAATGCTGGCAGCTAGACAGAGAGTCAGTGACCTCTGCCCCACCCCCACTGAGGACAACTACCCCTTGCAGTCGAGAATGGAAACAGAGGTTGACCATCTATGTGATTTCACTCTGTCCTCAACTAACCAAAGATGTATTTCCCACTACGGTCTCCACTGGTATACCCCATGGATGCTGGGCAGTCGGCCCAGATCCCCAACAACATGACAAATGGAGCCCTGCCACCCTGTCCGCTCTTCAGCAGCTGAAAGGACTCCAGGTAGAAGGGCCAGTCCTCACTTCTTCCCAGAGATTGGCTGGGTGAGTAATGCTATGTTTGGGACAATGTGTTTGGGGTACTGTGTGGGTATGGGCAGTGGGGGACTGGGACTACGAACTAACGTCGAAGTCAACCCATCTGGGGTTTTCTTCAGTGTTAGTCCCAGATATGTGACGGGAGTCACTTTGGGTGGGGGGCTCATGGAACCCAGCTTACTTTGCAGAGGTTGGGAGACCCCTGTCTCAGCTCCCCATATCCCTCTTATGTGCAAGTCAACCTGTGTCTCTTAGGGGCACAGGGTGACTAATGGATGCTGAGAATGCGGTTGGAATTACGTCAGATGGGACAGTAATATTTATCAGCCATAAGAAGACTATCCCTGGCTGTTGATTCTGAACTAGACATGTGCATTGAAGGAGCCGGACCGTCTGCTCGGTAGTGAGCTCCTAATTCATCAAACCATTGTCTAGGTGTGAATTCCCATTCACCTTTTGTTTTGGTCACCCAGTTAGCTAACCTAATTAACTTACTGTTTAGAAAATCTATTTCTGTATATAGCTGCATTTGCATATGATCATGTGATCAGTCTCAGTGTGTATTGTATAAAAAGCCTGTTTGAATTTAAAATAAAGAGTTCCATCTTCAGACAGACTGGTGTCAGCTAGTCTTGTATGGTCGGCTGTGGTGTCTGTTGTCGGTGTTCGGACAGGGAAGCGGTATTCTAACAGAAGTACTCAAGCACAGTCTGGGTCGGTTCCGTTACAGTAGCTTTTTGACAAAAAAAGATGCACCCAATTTTTGGAAAAATACTTGTAAAAATAAGTAATACAGATAAAAAGATTAGAAAGGCAAAAAGACCGATAAGCTGACTTCTATGTACAGATAAAAAGATTAGAAAGGCAAAAAGACAGATAAGGTGACTTATAGGAATCATAGAAAGGATAAGGAGGAAACACTTTTTTATATTATTATAGCGCTTTACAAAATGAAGGTGCAGTTACAATACAATTTGGTACAAGAGGAAACAGAGGGCCCTGCTTGTTAGAGCTTACAATCTAGCAGATCATTTGAGTTTCTAAGACCACAAAACAGCTAGAAAAAGTGGCAGCTGAATCCTCCAAAAGGTAAGGTGTCAGGGATCGCGGCGCCTCTCCCGGCGCACGCGCACTTGCGACAGCTCACGCCGGGACACAGGCACTAGGTCCCGGCGGGCCGCGGCTGACAAGACGCTGCGCATGCGCAGTAGGAGCCGCGGGCGCGCCTCGGGCGGCCAATGACAGCCCGGGGGCGCGTTCTGGTCGGCCAATGACAGTGCAGGGCGCACTATTTAAAGATGCCCTGCACTGTCACAGATTGCCGCAAGGTCTATCTGTGATCCTGAAGTTCCTGTACCTGATTAGTGACCCTGATTGCCCTGACTACGCTGCCTTCTCCTGTGATTTGACCCGGATTGCCCTGACTACGCTGCCTTCTCCTGTGCTTTGACCCGGATTGCCCTGACTACTCTGCCTTCTCCTTTCCTGACCCCCGGCTTGTTTGACCATTCTGCGGACTGACTTATCCTGCTGACCCTGCGTGTGACCTGACTACTCTTCGCCTGCCGATTTGGTACCTCGCTTACCCCACGGGACCACGGCTCGTGACCATCCTGCTAGGTCCCGCCGTCCTTCTCACATCTGGCTCTCCCGGTACCTGCATACATCCCCGGAGGCTCCCTCTGCCACTGGTGGGCCTGCTCGGAGGTCGTGACCTGGCCCTGTTCTGTTACAAGTCTATCCCCACCATCAGGGGCCCTGGTGAAAGCACAGACCGGGGCTTAGACTCCACGCTCTGGGTAGGTCTGTCCAGTGGGCATCCTGAGGCACCACCTGGTGGATCATAACATAAGGTCTGAACAATAGCCTGAATAAGCTACTGAACAGACTTACTTCTGTCGGAGCAGAGGAGCCACTGACTGTTCTCCCTCACCCAGGGAATTCCAGCTCTAGAGGTACTCACTGTAGAATTAGCTTACCTGCCAAGATTAGTTGAAAGCCTAAGTGAGTCAACACATAGGGCTAGCATAGTCGCATGCCAAATTGGGTGGTTACTTCAAGTGGTTGTAAACCCTTGAGTGTACCCAGTGAAGTGTCTGGCCTAAGGTGATACAGAGATGAAAAATCTTCCTACATAAGTTGTACTTGTTCATCTGAGTTTTCTGTTCTCTACATCTGTTCAAAGTCCATAATTTTTTTAAAGCTTGTCTTTTCAGAAAACAGTGGGTGGGGAGCTGACTTTACACACTGTAAACTCAGTGAGGAGAGCTCTGAGAGCTGATTGGAGGGAAGAGACACACCCCGTTTCGCACAGTGCACAGGAAAAGAACTGAGGCTGTCAATCACACAGGCTGTACTCTGAAGATGCCTCCCAGTCACCTTTTTTCTTCTGTAGTCAGGAAAACCTGTCAGAGGTGATGGGATGTTTTTAAGAAAAGAGGTATACAGAGGCAATAAAGTACATAATTCCCATATGTCAATGTCTTACACCTGTTACCAAGACATTTGACTAGCTCTCTTTTCCAATAATGTTTATTGGAAAAAGTAAGGAATTAAAGATACAACAATGTTGCAAAATAACAGTTAAGTGCAAAGTCATTTGTCTCTACAAGTATACCAAACGATTATAGAATTATTGCAGATAGGCTGGGCCTAGGACTATTAGGGCTCTTGGCACCCAGAGACCAAACAATATACAAGGAAATCAATGCCGTGAGACAAATCCAGTTAATCGAGCCCGTAGCAACATAACTTCACTAGCCAGAAAGTGTATTGTCAAGGCTCAATATATTATTAACAGCCAGAGATAGCTGAGCTAGTGGATAAACTTGTGCTGCTCAGTCTGGTTCTCCTGTGGTATACAAATGGAGAAAATTACCCTGCAATCCAACCGATTGGAATGGAGTTCCCCGGAAGAAAAGGAGATGTAAGACTCCCCAGAGCAGGGACAAAACTAAAGAGGAAAGAGAAGAAAAGAGAACAGTGAAAGAAGAAAGGGAGTGCCAACCCCCTATGTCCAGACCACAATCTAAACTAAGGGGCCCGAGTATCCCACCCCTCAGATATTGAATTCAGGAGTTCCATGATTTTTTCAAACATCTTGATTTTCTTATTCAATAGTGCAGAAAGATGCTCATTACCATAATACAGGATAACTTGGCCTTTAGTAAGTCAAACAGTATCACTGCAGACCTTCGTGATCTTGATATAGTTATCTTTGCCGCCACAAAGATAAAAGAAATTAGTCTACATTTTGTACGTCCCGGAACATTATACACTGGGCCACAAAGCAGTGACTGTTTTAGAGATTTGTTTAAGTTAAGTTGGGGAAGTGAATCAATAGATTATGATCCAAAAATGCTTCACCTTTGGGCACTGCCACCAATGTGAAATGAGGACCCTTCTTGTCAGCAGCCCCAGAAACAGAGTGGAGAAACCCCCTGGACATTAGAAGTGATCCTAGTTGGGACCATGTACCATCTCATAATCACTTTTTAGTTGGCTTCAATTATAGATGTATTAATGAACCAGTCCTCTAAATCCAGGGCTTCCCCATAATCCTGCTTCTACTGCTGCATGTAGATCTGTTGTAGAACAAGAACACTCTTGTTCTACAACAGATCTACATGCAGTTACAAAATCTGAGGTACAATTAAGAGAGTTAAGATAATGTGCTATTTGAGTATAACACAAGCCTTCAGCCTCAGGCATCTGATGTTGGTCAAGCAAGGCTCGCTTGGTCAATATTCCCTTATGGTCACACAAGTCTGCTATGTATGTAAGCCCCTTGCTAGTCCATCATCCAAATGCTGGGGGGGAGGTTGCAATTCAGATTCCCAAAAAAGTGGTGACATAGGATTGTGAGGGAATTTAAAGTTGTATGGCCTGGCCAGCCTGGCCCGTACTCCACGGGAGGATAACAGGGGTGGGCATAGTATGGTAGGCCTGGCTCTGTGCAGAAGCCATATAAGATGAAATATTGGTCTTTCCAGACATGAAAAGGACACTTCCTCCAATCCACAGAGCATAAGGCCTTTTGTTAGGTAATCGCCAATTGAATCGCATAAAAATATTTGCCTAAGTCTGGGGCTCCCAAACCCCCCTCTTCTTAGGAGTATACATGTTTGCTTATTCATTCTAGGCCTTTTAGTCCCCAAAGAATAACATTTTCTTTTGGAAAGACTAGAGGTCACGCATTTTAATCGACACCGGAAGGGTACGGAACAAAAATAACAACCTTGGAAGAATATTAATTTTCAATGAATAGAGTCTGCCCAACCATAATCGTAGAATGAGGTGCCATTTAGTTAAGTTTTCGGTAAGTTTCTTATACAGAGGAGGATAGTTCTTTAGATAAAAGGGTATGTAAGGAAGGCATACGTTTGCCATTGAAATGCTTAAGGGCATCTACCGTTCGTTCATCTAAGAATATATTTAGTGTTTGAGACTTGAAACCCAATACCCGTGCAAATGGCTGCAACATCACCTGCAAATTGGGAACAAAGGTGATAGGAGAAGACAGCAACAGCAGGATATCACCAGCAAAAAATAAAATAAAAAAAAAAAATAAAAAAAACACCCACATTTATGTGGATTTAGAGAATCGCTGAGATAATGTCTATGACCCATCGTGTCTGATCAGAAGCTTTGGGGAGGAATCCCACTTGGTCTGGATGTATGTAGAGGGCGAGGAAAGAGTTTAATCTGGTAGAGAGAATTTTTGTCATTCGACATTTGACTAGCTCTAACTCAGCAGCAGCATGTCAGACCACTGCAGAGACTGCAGCTGAACACCAGTGGAGAGGCGCTTAGACTGGAGTTTTTATGTGTAAATTCTGTGACAGTGTGAAGCCCTACTACCACTATGTGATTTTTAGGTACAAATGGCACAGGATTCGCATGAAGGCTTAATGCAAAGCTCAAGGGTGTTTGCTATGCGCTGAGAAAGCTGTGCTTTATGTTTTCTCAGAGTGGATTCACACTATAGTGCTGCAGGAAATGACATGCAATTTGGACAGGAATCGCACTGCCTTCCTGTTCAAATCACATGTGATTCTTTGCAGTGCGATTTGAGCCCATTCATTTTGTATGGGCTCAAATAGTACTGCATTCACGCAAAAAAGGTGCAGGAACCTTTTTTTTTGCTACAATAGAAACGGATCTCATGGGTGCTCACACCCATATGACCCGATTCTTACAGGCACACTGCATTTTGTGAATCTGTTTTGGGGTCAATAATTTAACATTGACACCGGTGGTAGATCGCATGAACAAAGTATAATTTCAATGTGGTGTGGGGAAAATGCTCAGGATTCGTTGAGCTTTCTATACCGCATATATGTGAATCGGGTCAGGCTTTGTAATCCGGGATCAGGGCCTGGTTCCAAAGTGTTTTGGGTGGGACAGAACTGTTAGTTCTGTATCAGGACTTTGCTGGACGCCTGCTGCCTGTATGAGTGCACAGGTGTGCACGGTCGTTATAAAGTCTGAGAAGAGCTCTGGGCAGTTGCAGGTGCTACCATTTGAGCACACAGCCTGTGTGTGAAGATAGTGGTGTGCTCCG